ATGGCATTTGTTTTTTCAGATGTCAAGATCAGTTTACTTTGCGACGCATATCATTCTTGAAAAATTAATTCAAGGCTTAAAACTGCCATTTCAAATGAACACTCAGACATACTCTCTAATAATCTTTGTCAAGGCACTGAACCACTTACATAGAATTACTTTAGTAAGATTTTTATAACCACAGGTTACTAACAAACTCATTTACACAATTAAAGTGGAAACATTTCAATTTATTCTCACACATGGTCTTCATTTAAACCAAGAAGATGAGTGTTAGTTTTACAACAGAATGTTGACTTACTTCAACCACAATTATTAAACTAGATTAAGATTTAAATGTTTGTAAGATTACATATGCATAATAAATAATATGCTATTCAACAAATATATTCTGCTACCACAAGACAAAAATATAACTTAGATGGTCAATTTAGACAAAATATTTTCACAACACATCTGTTCCTTAATGTTAAAATACAATACTTTTTCCCCACATTGGCAATTTCTTAAGTTTACTGTTATATCAAAGATGGTGAAGATCTACCCAAAGGACCACCTCCTTTAGGTGGAGATTAGATAAGTGTTGACTGGAAAATAAAGTTTTCCTTTTCTTCCATAATGCCATGATTCCACGAAATGTAATTCATCTGTAAACAATTTATAGTCTACCCTCTCTTTAAGAAGTTGGAAAAGTGACATCATGGCCTCCTTGAAACACAATTTCACTTTTAAACTCTGTGCAATGAAGTTTTGTTAGGTTAGCTCATTGTATAATTCTTTACCCTGATTTAAATAAAATACCTTTTTTTTCAAATTGACAATTACATACGTTTAGTTTTTATACAATAGATGATGAAGATCTATCTGAAGGACCACCCCCTGCAGGCAGTGATTTAGGTACCGTATTTCTTCACCTATAAGCCGACCTCGGCTATGAGCCGACACCCTAAAAGTTAGAGACCTTCCAACAGACTCGTGTTATCCAAAAGAAAAAGCAAAACCATCGGCTATAAGCCGAGAGCGAAATTCTTGATTATAACCGGCCATTTGAGTGTGCGAATCTCACGGAAAAAATTGGGAAATGGCTCAATGAACACAAAAGCTAATGAATGAGAATAAACCCAAAAGAAAAAAAGGCGAATCAGTGAAGATGTAAATACTACTACGCGACTGCAGAACCACAACAGTTACTGTAGCCTGACAAACATTTCAATCGAGTATCTCTTTCGTCATTGTTATTTTTCTCATCATGCCAGAAGCACGCCGCTTTTTGTAAACTATAGCTTTCAGGATAAAAGTTATCGTGGAAGCCGAAGCTGTAGAAAACAGCTCGGAAATCGCTCGAGATTATGGACTTAGCGAGTCCATGGTGCGACGCTGGAGACGAGACTCGGCGACTATTCTTTCTGGCAAGCTTAAGATTTCGGCAAAACGTGCAAAAATAGGCCGTTTCACCCAAGTGTCCCGAACTAGACGAGCAAGCGATGGTGTGACTTTCACAGCAGAGAGACCAAATATTTCATTAGTAATGTGCGATGAGTAGAGTTTTTG